TTTATATACGCTTATTATTATTTATTATGATTTTATAATTAATTAACTCACGATTTATTGCAATTGTATTGTTTTAAAATAAAGTTCAAACACACAATCTCTTACAGTTTTAGACAATAGAACTAATAAAATTTATGAAATTCCAATCGAGAACAATACAATACCTGCCATCAAATTCAAGGAAATGACGGCGGATCCAATGCCAAATTCTCGCGAGGAGGATGAAAGTAGTAAAGGTTTAAGGTTTGTTCTATATTTTTTAATATACACTCAACCCTTCTAAGTGCATTCCCTTTGAATGCACACGCTCTCACCCAGTCCCAAGGGGTGCACTTGGAGGGGTTGACTATAAATTGATTTTATAGAAATGATTAATTTTTCATTATCTAAACCTAAATTTTTTTATTTGTTTAAATAGAGTTTATGATCCAGGTAATTTTATTATTTTATAATTTAAATTTTTTTCCGATTACTAAAAAATCAATTCATTAATTAAATATTTTTATTTTATTTTATAGCATTTCAAAATACAGCCGTTGCAAAATCAAAAATTACTTATATTAATGGTGATGCTGGTGTTTTAAGATATCGGTAAGTATTTTTGAGAGAGGAGAGAGTGATATTATTAAAAGTAAATATTACTATAACACACAATATTAATAATAACAGTAATAATAACAAATTAAATAAATTAGTGGATACCCAATCGAACAACTTGCCGAGAAATCTACATATCTTGAAGTTGCTTATTTATTAATTTATGGAGAACTTCCCACTAAACAACAATTTGAAAATTTTAGTCATGAAGTTATGCATCACACATTTGTTCACTTTAATGTGACTGAATTAATGCGTAAATTTAATTATAATGCTCATCCCATGGGAACGTTTGTTAGCGGAGTTGCTGCTATGAGTACTTTTCACCCTGACGCTAATCCAGCTTTAGTTGTAAGTGATAAAAAAAGAGAATGTAATGAAATTTAAATTTTGTTTTATTAAACAAATTTATAATTTTTATATTTAAGGGATCAGATTTGTTTATTCGTGATGAAAAAACTCGTAATAAACAAATATTTAGACTTTTGGGTAAAACGCCAACTCTAGCAGCGTGAGTTTTTTTGGAAAAAAAATATATAGAACTTTTATACATATAATTTTTCTTTTATTTTATATAAAACTAACATTTATCAATCTACATATAGAATGGCATATCGTCATCGTATTGGAAGGTAATTTATTAATTCATTGTTATAATTATTGATAATAAATGGTTAATAGTAAGTAATTACTTGTATATACTAATCCATTTTACTTTCTAATAAAGACAATACAATGTTCCACAAAATAATCTTTCATACACAGAAAACTTTTTATACATGCTTGATCACTTGTCCGAAGAGAATTACAAACCAAACCCAAAATTAGCTCGAGCTTTAGATATTCTATTTATTCTTCATGCAGGTAGCAGACAGTTAATTATAAATGCTCTTTATTTTTCTTTTTTTTATTTTAAAAAAAATAAAATAAAAGCAAATAATTCTTTCTCCTATATATACATAAATTATGAAATCCAAAGATCATGAGTTAAATTGCTCGACCGCAGCAATGAGACATATAGGTTCATCACTTGTTGATCCTTATAGCGCAATTTCAGGTGCATCTACTGCATTGTATGGACCACTTCATGGAGGTGCAAATGAGGCAGTATTGAGAATGTTGGAAGAAATTGGTTCAAAAGAAAATGTATCAGGATTCTTGGAAGAAGTTAAACAAAGGAAAAGAAAGTTGTTCGGATTTGGTCATAGGGTTTATAAAAATTATGATCCTAGAGCAAAAATTATCAGAAAGATTGCTTTTGAGGTAGTTAATTGGACAATCAGGAAGATAAGGGTGTAATTTTTTTAAAGGATTATTTATATAACTCATTAATGTTTATATAATAGGTGTTTGATGTATGCGGACGCGAACCACTTATAGATGTAGCTGTTGAATTAGAAAAAGCAGCTTTGGAAGATGATTATTTTGTTGCAAGAAAACTTTATCCAAATGTTGACTTTTATTCCGGATTAATTTATAAAGCCATGGGTTTTCCGACTGATATGTTTCCAGTATTGTTTGGTATAGTAAAAAAAAAACAAAAATTTGTTTTTTATATTTAACAAAATAAGATTTTTATAATTAAATTGAAAAAAATCCTTCCATGTAAAATAAACAGCAATCCCAAGAGTTGCAGGTTGGCTAGCTCATTGGAAAGAATCATTAGAAGACAAAGAAACAAAAATTTGGAGACCAAGACAAGTTTACGTTGGTTCAAGTGTCAGATCTTACGTTCCTTTGGATTCAAGAGAACAAATTAATAGTGATGGTATTGAAGTTGCTGTAAGCATCCATTTATTTTTGTGATTAATTGAAATAAATTACTTATTGATATATATATATATATATATTTATTTATTTATCTAATTTATCCCATTTACATTTAATTAATAGCATCCATTTAGTAAAAGAAGTCAAGTTGCTGAATATGATAATAAAGCTGAAACAATGATTTTCTCAAAATTATAAAAAACAAAACCTTTTTTCTTAAATGAATTTTTCATCATCCATCCATCCATTCATTAATTATTTTTTAAATATTATATATACATATATTTATAGAAAATTGTAATATTATGTACATTATATAATATTAATAATATTATTAAAAAGTATGAATTTACTCAAAATACCTTCATGTTCTGATAAAATTTTTAAAATTTCTATAATTGGCTCTTTAAAGTAAATAGTCAATATTTACATGATGTAAATAAACATAGTCTTGCGGATACAAAACTTTATGGGTAATTCATTAATTTTTTTTACACTTATTATTTAAAAATATTCTGTAATTTTTTTTTTGGATCCTTTAGATGATGAGAAGAAGTATTAGTTTTACATACATGATATCTATAAGAGAAGAAAGGGGAAAGAACTTGGTTAAACATAACTCAAATCGTGATTATTGTTCATAATAAAAAGATTAAAATTGTGTTGTTTTTTTATTTATAATCAATGCAGAAAGATTAATATTTAATTTGATTCAATTGAAATAATAAATTCCCAAATTTTGTCAACCAATTGAATTGTATACATAATTCCCATATGAGTACCTTTCAATGATGTTTCTAACTTAACAATTGTTTTTTTATCTTTTAAAATTTCACTAACAGTACTTTTACCTATGTTAAAAGTATTTGACAAATCTACATTCATAGGGTATGGGGCTGTTTGTTTTGCTAAACATAATTCTTTTTTCTGTAAATCAGTTAATGATGTTCTTTTATTTAAAGAAGATATTATTGAGATTAATTTAATTTTAATTTATTTGTTAAAGTTTGTTTATGTGATTAGACAATTTGTGAAAATTTTTAAAGAATTATTTGTTTTGGATTTAGAAAAGCAACTCAAACTAAAAAATGGCTTGAAATTGATGATGATTCTCATGAAGCTAACAAAAGGAAAAGAAGAAATGTGATGTATAATTATATTGATCAAGCATTGGCTATTTGGGTTGAGCAATCATTTAATGCAAATATAGATCTTAGTGGCAAAATATTAAAAGAAAAGGGAAAGGTTTTTGCTGAGCTCCTTAATAAAAATGATTTTAAAGCATCAGATGGCTGGTTAACTGGCTTTAAAGAAAGGCATAACATTAAAGAATATGTAAAACATGGTGAAGCTGGTAGTACTCCCATTTCGGAATTACCATCATATAGAGAACAAATAAAAAATATTACAAGTCAATACCAATTATCTGATATTTTCAATGGAGACAAAACAAGCTTATTTTGGCAATTGGAGCCTTCTAGAGTGTTGTCCACAGGGTCAGTAACTGGAAGAAAAAAAATCAAAAGAAAGGATTACTGTAATGCTAACTTGTAATAGTGTTCCATGTCACAATCCAAAAAAGGAAACCAAAGTG